CAAATTATTTGTAGCGTTAGCGTGTTTATCAATATATTCTGGATTGTTTTAAAAACACCAAGATTATATCTCAACCATTCAGCAAAGCTTTTAAACTGTAAATCCAGACTTATCAGGATAGTGTATGTTATTTGATCTTACGGCCTTACCGACCTACACCCCTACAGAGTTGTCGTTCCAGAAAAAAGCGCATTATTGCAGACGGAATCTATCAATAACAGCCCCCTCAAACAGAATCTTACGCAAGAATTGCTGATTTTCCAACTTCTTTCTCTATTTTAGAGATGTGTAGGCTACCTAAGCAGGCTAAGGTTATATTATATTTAAATTTTGGTATTTCGAAATTCTATGACACTGTTTCCGATGAGTTGATGCTTTTTGGCCATGTCAACGTTATTGGTCCAGTATTACCACAGGTGGAGCAACTTGGAAACACTCTTGTTACATTGAAAGACTCGAATACATTATAAAATAACAGTGACATCCAGGGTAGTGTGATATTTAGACTTGCCACATGTCTACTCGTATTATTTAACTGCGCGGTTGAGCTCAAATTTCTCAGAATTTTCCTATATAGTCGGTGCGCATTAGCAAAACAACAGATCAATATGATCAATATGATCGATGAATTTTCCGTGTTTATTTATTATGCGTTGTATGATTAATCGCGAAACATATAATTTTTCTCGCCAAGGATATGCGATTTCTGGCAAGCGTAAGAGGTCAACTCCCTCTCGCCCGTTTTATTCACTCACTCGTTTTACTCGTTAGCAAGTCGATGCATGACACTGGGCATGCTATATTTCAATACGGTAAACAATAAACACTTCATGCATTTTATATTTTGGGCAAATATTATTGTTGAGTGCAGATGATAATATAGCCATTAAGTATTGTTTTTGTTACGCGCACCGCTTAGAGAGCCGTTACGCAGGCTACGCACCGCTAGTCTATGGACGCAAATTGTGAGAATTTCCCAAATTTTTAATCGAGAAAATGTCGCCTATATAAAATGAAAGTTAATATACCGAATAAAGTGTGCAACTTGATACACAGATTTGATTAAAAATATTTTATCAAATTTCGAATCTATGTACATGTTCAGCAATTATAAACTATTGAAAGTATTAATAAGTAAGTAAATAAGTATTTATAAAGTAAAGTATTTATTTATTTATTTATTTATGTATTTATTTATTTATTTATTTATTTAAACAGACGTCAGCATGTTGAGGTGCTTTTCAGCCCAGCTCAGATAAAATACTATTAACGTTATATATCCTTATATAATCCTATCTATATATGGTTAAAATACTTAAAAGGCAAGTCCAAAGTACAGTACAAAATTTCAAGAAAAAAAATCACTCAAGAAGATGATTTCGTAATTATTTTTTTTAAATGAACAAAAGTTTTTAATCCAGTTTATATATATTTATTTTGGGAATACTGTTCAAATTTGTAGTAAACAGGTAGTTCGATCTTGTGATCCTTCGCTGGTATATACAGTATATAAAGGGGGAGCTATTATTGTGTGTATATAGCCTGTGCATGTGTCAGGCTATAGTGAGTGTTATACATGCATATACAACGGCGGTGCACTAGTGTTTGTTTCTCTTGCAAACAGGGGCGTAGGAACCGGGGGGGCCAGGGGGGCCATGGCCCCCCCAAGTTTTGGCAAGTGCCCTTTTTACAGGAGCAAAGTGCCCTTTTTGTGCCTGA